CACAACATCTACGATCTCCTCAAAAGTCTAATAGTATCTTTAAACTTGTGGGATATGTGGTTGAAAGCTCCGGGAAAAGCTAGTAGGTGGACCTTGAGTGAAATGTATAGTTTCTATATATTCTTTTTTTTTAGGAAACTAATATTTCCTAGAATGAACTTTTATGCTCAAGATTCATATTGGCTCAAACACAACACACACACAGAGTGTTGCTGCTGTGTCTGAACGAGGCCCTTGAGGGCCTCACCACTGAATAGAGAGGCAGACCAGTGTTTTGGAAACAGCTGGCAGTGTGTGTGTGTGTGCGTGCCTGCCTGCCTGCCTGACCACTTTGTGTTTACAAGCTGCAACTGTGGATGTAAACAGATAAGAATACTATATCTCCATATTTATTTACACTCTGGTTGCCTGTAAAGATACAATCTAATACAAACAAATGCACTTTTGCTTTCACCCAACATCCAATTATAGCTCTAACTGTAATGCAATGCAACCTTCATTTTGAAGTCTTCAGAACTAGACAAGTTCTCACCCTTTAATACCAAAGCGATGATGTTTTAAATCTTGCAACTGCAACAGAAGTTAAAAAAGATGCATTCAAACGAAAACAATGCTTTTATTAAGGAGGAGCAGCCTGAGGGGCTTCAGGTTTGTTAATGTAATTAGTGATTAGATTCATCATGAGCTGAAACAGGCCTGACTGATGGAGATCAGAAACAGAAATTAGCATCAACAGCTGATGACTCAGGGAATGGGTGTGTGCACTGTTGTTGTGCACACACCACAACAACAGCTAGCCTGGCTCTGTCCACACACAGAGTTAGACGTGTGTGTTGTTTGACCCTGAGCTGTGACCTGCAGCACGACAGCAGCAGGCTTATGGTAATGATGGAGGACGACATTAGCATAGTTAAAAAGTATATTAGCATAGCGATCAGACAGAGCGAGTCAGCAGTCAGCAACTATGGACACATCTTTGCAAACTCACCTTGTTCGGACAAACATTTTTCAAAAAATGTAAATAAAATTCCAATGATAGAAAATGTATGGAGTTTGAATATTTCACATCATATTGCTTCAATGAAACATGTGGAAGCAGAATAGATACTTACTAAAATTTTTCACACATATTTTCCTAAACTAAACACACATCAGCTGAATATGAAGTTGGTCAGGGCTCCTTCATGAACAAATGCTGTATGGCTGTAAATACTTAATGCTCTTGTGTCTTGTTTTCACTTACTGACAGTAGCATGATTTTGAAAATAATAAAAATGTCCGATCAGTGTCATCTTCATCCATTTCTTCACTTTGTAATAAATTGATCAAGTGTGCTCCTAAAAAATAAATAGATTAATAACTTAACAAACAAATAAATGTAGATAAATAAAGATCAATTTGAGTTGAGCTGTGGAGGGGACACTGATGCCTGTATCCAAGGCAACCTGCTCACCCAAAACACCAACAAACTAAAAACACAGAAACATGCACACACACACCACACACACCACACAACTGCAGCCCATCACAACATCTGCTGCAGCTCTCCAGCACACAGCAAAGATTTTGGGAGGAGGAGAAGGAGGAGGAGGAGGCCTTTTATATTGAAAGGACACCTTGAGAAGCAGCATGTGGCTGCAGCAGTAGAGCTCTTTATGACCCGGGTTGAGATAGAGGGCAGGCCGAGGTTGTTCAGGCA